GCCTATTTGCTAGTGTTTACCTGTGGCAACGCCTTGTCTTTTGGGTTGAAGCCACTTTGTGGCAGACTGAATTGTGTATCACAGAATTTCAAAGGAGCTTGACGCAGAGGAGACAGCTGGATCACGTTAACCAGACATCACAGCCACAATGGTGCTGTCACAGAGGCAACGAGATGAGCTGTGAGTACTTGAGAAGCATCAGTTTTTTAACATTGATTTTATCCTAAATCAGCTGCTGCTTGTGATCACATTTTATCTTGTTGAATTAACACCCACTGCTAAACACAAAGCAACAATTGCTAGAGAAAAATGGTGGCAGTTCATAAGGAACAAAGCACATCAGACTGCTTCCAAATTCTAATATTTGCTTTCATATGGGGAAGTGGCTAGACATAGGATGGCAGGAAGGGGGGGGGAGCAGCATGTTTTAAAGCAATCTTCCCAAATCTGGACTCACTCTAGATTGTAAACTGCAGCTTCCAGAATTCTTAATAAAAAATCATGTTTATTATAGCTCAAGAATTCTGGGAATTCATGCTCAAAATTGGAGGATGTCAAGCTGCCTTATGCTTCCATCCGAAAGCTTGAGGAAATTTGAACCTTATTAAGATAAGCTGGGGTTATTCATAAAATAAATGTGAAATAATCACACATTTGGCAAATTAAGGAGTTCATATAAATTAGCAGTTAAGGGCATATAGCCTAGTTTACACACATTCACACATAGCTCTTTTTTTAACCATGATTTATTGATCATAGTTGGCTGGATCCTGAACATGTTCACCCAGAATTAAACTGAGTTAGTGTGATATACTTCAATTCCAGAAAAGGAATGGAGCAAAACTTGAGCAAAATAAAGGAATTACTTGAAGACATAAATATTTGGAGAAAAGGTATAATAAGGACTGGCTTCCTTCATCAAAATTAATGGAAGAAACACAGCATATTTACTATATCTGTCTAAGGTCATAGTCAAAGATCAAGATTATTTTATAAGTTTTGAGAATAGCTTCTACTAAAGCATGTTCATTGAATTGATTTAGATAACCTCCCCACCCCACCCCCTAGGCTGTGATTGTATGTTTTACTATGCCTTAAAAATAAGTTCATTTTGTAACGGTCCAAGTGTTCCTTTGGAAGTGGCTTTTGAAGTTGCTTCTTGAGGTCTTCTCAAGGTCTCTGGGTATATGATGAAGCAGCTGTCTGAGCCTTCAAGTGGCTATGGCTGACTCATAGCTTTAGTAATGGATCCACAGGGAACACGCTATGCTGTTTGGTGCTGTGATTGAACAAAAATACAGAACAGTCTCTCCATGCAGTCTTGTTGAATGTATTGGTAAGTTTCAATCTAAGACCACTTGCTCGTTAAAGTAAGCCGAGTCTTCCATCATCTATTGACAGAAGAAAATAATGTTGATTAAGTGAGGCATATTCTATGCTAGAAATAATATTACAGAATTTGCTTCTGAGAACCTGAGAACTGCAGCATTCCTAAGTATATGCACATTTTAGTAACACAGTCTTTTCCTTTGCTCAACTCCTGTTCTGAATGGTATTGTATGCCTACTGCTGTGTTAATACTTGTCAATGCTGTGTTCACCTGCAGACTTTTGATCCTTTTATTGTAAGCCATCTTGATTGACCTTGATAATAGCTAGAAAGGTGGAGTGCCTTTTTTTTTTTTTAAATAAAGAAGGGAGAACATTGTGGCTACAGCACTTCTGTACTTCAGGAGCATTCGTCTAAAACCATGTAGCATAAATTTATTCAGGATCCTTTTTCTTTTCCTCATCCACTTCCTATTAACTTGGCACATGGATGAGGTTGATCATGTTGTGGGAACAGGATCAGAAACTCAGCCTTTCCCTATTTTATGTCTTCAGGGTGGGTTGGGCTTCCGCCACCAAGCAGCCTCTGCCAGTACAATGAATGGCTGGGGAAGGCGCCAAGAAGTGATGCTGACTATTGCATAGTATGGCAGTGCCACCTCAGGGGCATTTCAACGTCACAGTTAATTCATCACATTACACCAACCTTATCTCAATAATCCTTTTGATGAATAGCTCACAACATTTCCAAAATTATTTTTAGCATGACAATGTTTGAGAATGGATAGCTCTGTTTAACTTATAGTACAGTACAGGTAGACCAAACTTTATGTTGTTAAGTGAGAAATTTGTGCGTTTCGCCCCATTTTATGACTTTTCTTGCCCCATTTGTTAAATGAATCACTGCACTGTTTCCCCATTGACTTTGCTTGTCAGAAGGTGTCAAAAGGGGATCCCATGACTCCATGACACTGCAACCGTCATAAATGTGAGTCAGTTGTCAAGCATCCAAATGTAAATCACATAACCAGTTATAACTGTGAAAAACGGTCATAGGCCACTTTTCAGTGATGTTGTAACTTTGGTCACTAAACAAACTGTTGTAAATTGAGGGCTATCTGTAGCTATGTGTTGGTTTCTCCTATCTGATATAGTCCAGATACATAGGACTATAACTCTTACAATGCCTTGATCCTTAGCCAACACATTGGGAGGTGGTAAGGATTATAACTAAGCATGGTGTTACATGCTGTTTCTACTGTCACATAATTCTATACCTGAAGTGGCTTTAAAAAAAGAGAATCTTTCTTGATTTGCTACCAAGAGGACCACAAAGGAGGTGCTAGGTTGAATGATTTAAGTGGAAAGACTTTCTAAACAGGGACGGTACTACTGACAGTCTTCCAGTTAATGAAATATGGCAGAACATGCTCAGGTGACATTCCATTGACTTCCATAATTGGCATGCTGCCTATAGAAGGTCTGACTCCTATAGACTGAATTCACTGGTAGTTTCAGAGGCTCAGCGTCTTCAGCTAATCTTGATGGATGTGTTGGGAGAGTGTTTGGTATGTTATTTTTGAAGACCTTGGGTTTTAGGCTGTTTAAAGTTAAATAGACTGTTGTTGGGCATTTTAGATTGAACATGAAATTATGTAGAGTTAATTTGCTTGTTCCAAAAATAACATATTCAGTAGGTAGGTGTGTGTGTGTGTGTGTGTGTGTGTGTGTGTGTGAGAGAGAGAGAGAGAGAGAGAGAGAGAGAGAGAGAGAGAGAGAGAGATTTCTAAGAAGTTCTGGATTTACCAAGGCAGTTTTGTTTAACGAGGATATTATTTCTTGGCAAAATTATTGCAGTATATACAATGAAGATAACCGCTCTGCTAGTTTGATGATGACTCCTTCCATCCTTCCGAGGTTGGTAAAATGAGGGCCCAGATTGTTTGGGGCAAGATGCTGACTCTATAAACCGCTTAGAGAGGCTGTAAAGCACTAAGTCTTAAGTGCTATTGCTATTGATGGTCACTCAGTAGTAATCAAAGGGTTAGTTGATGGTCACTTAATTGCTGATCAGGTTGCTGTCCTGGTTCAATAAACCAAGTAATGTTATGCCCTGTTTTATTTTGGTTATAGCTTGCCTGCAATCATAGCCCTTTTTGAGAATCAGTGTCTTTTGTCCTTATTTTATCCTCAGTCTGCTTTTACCAGAAAATCCTTTGGAATAGAAAACGCTTCTTGTTTAGACTACAGATGTGCATCCCTTACATGATTGGTTGGAATAATAGTTGCATTTGTTTTATGCTTCTTTAGAGTGGGGGGAACCCAGAAGATACCAAAAATGCATTTATATTACCTTGATTAAAAAAAAACCGTTTAATCAAAATCTGATTAACATTAAATTTCCATATCAGTTTTTCTGGGCAGGAAAATCATAAAGTAATCCAATTGCCAAAAAATTAGCAGCTTTTAGAACTACAATGCTACAATTGTATATCAGGCTCTGTCAATAGTGCATGGATAATCCTAGTGCATATGAATGGAAAAGTTATCTTTGCAAACAGCTCAGATAGGGCTTTCAGGATCAGGACCAGCATTACAGTGAGCCTTGATATACACAGATCTCTTAGTTCTGATGTTGCCTGATAATTGCATCTGGAATAAGACAAAATAGCAACATTTATACACTGCTCAAAAAAATAAAGGGAACACTTACACAACACAATGTAACTCCAAGTCAATCACACTTCTATGAAATCAAACTGTCCACTTAGGTAGCAACGCTGATTGACAATCAATTTCACATGCTGTTGTGCAAATGGAATAGACA